CATCGGGCTCCCTGCTCGGCAGGGAGTCTGCTTCTCCCTCTGACCTTCCTCCCTCTCATGCTCTCTGTCTCTCATTCTCTCTCTCTCAAATAAATAAAAAAAATCTTAAAAAAAAAAAATATGTTATCCATTTGCCTTAGAGAAATTTCTTAAGGAAATCTTAAGAATATTTTATAACCCATATTAACAAAAGTCACCCATTAATATTCTACTGTAACAATTCCATATGATTTTTGAGTTGTTACTGCTTGTGACTAAGAGCAGAGAAATGTGGAATCATCCAGAGGAATGAAATGATTGTCAAGCTTTTATTGGGACTCTACCACCATTATCACTAATAGTTCCTGACATATCTCTCTTTGCTTAAGAGCTTTTCTCTTTCTTGCCTCCTTTTCTTTTTAACAGAAGAAAACAGAAGTGGCCTGGCCTTTTTAGTTTGTTCTTTGATTTGAATCAAACAAATTACTTTTGGCCTACTGATTTATTTGTTGCTTTTGCCACTAGTTAGAAAAAAAAAAAAGTAAACCTAACAAAAAAGATCGCATTCTTCTAAAATATACTGCGTTTTGATCCCCTCATATCTATTCCTCCTTAAAAACTATGTCATCTTTCTTCTCTAACCTCATAGAACACAGTAATTCCTCCTTCCAGCTAAGGTGCCTTGTAAGTAGAACAATTGCATATCATCTAAGCCCTGGATTTAGCTTTGTCAACTCCAAAGGGCGTGCCAACAATTTTCTTTTTTAATCACAGACATTTTATTTTATTATAAAATGCATAAATGTGTATACATTCACGAGCCTTTAGATGTAAGATTAAGTCCTTTCTTTGAGGTGTCTGCAGATTAAAATTCAGTTTTGTCTTTATTGTGTAAGCTACACTCATTAACGCACCTTTTTTTTTCAGTGATTTTTTTACAAATGTATTCAGTTTAGAAAACTTTACCAGTGGGTACCATTGTGCTGTTTGTATAGTTTTGTGTTTTAGTTGAGGGCTTACTATTTTATAGAAGGAGTTCCTACTGTAAGGATAATATTATTTTAAATCAGTCTTCTGTTGTATTCTAACACTAAGCTTCGTATTTTTCCAGTTAGTTTTATAACCATTGTTAGATCCATTATTTTACTGAATGTATATAATCTTTCCAAAATCAAAACTTCTTTTGGGTGTGTTTTTCTCTTATTGCTTTTGTAGAACCTACTGGCTTGGTGACATTTACAAGACAGAGTCTTGAAGATTTTCCAGAGTGGGAAAGGTAATAATAATAAAAATAATCTGGGAATCTTAGAATTATAAGGGCTCTTTTACCGTGATAGGATTCTATTTTGCAACTCCTGGAAAGATGGTTTCCCAACCTCTTAGTTGCCCTAGTGCTAGGGAGTTTCCTGTAAATGATCCATTGATAGCTCTCATTGTTGGAAAGGTCATGCTATCTGAATCAAAGCCTGTAAGCCTCTGATTTCTACTCTTTGCCTTAGTCTTTTTCTTCTGAAGCAAAGTCCTATTTAGGAGTTTTGTGTGAAGACACTAATATCAACTAGAACACCAATATTTATTTTTTTAAAAGATTTTATTTATTGATTTGAGGGAGAGAGTGAGAGAGAGAGAGAACACAAGCAGGAGGGAGCAGCAGGCAGAGGGAGAGGGAGAAGCCGACTCCCCGCTAAGCAGGGAGCCCAATGTGGAGCTCCATCCAGGGACTCTGGAGTCATGACCTGAGCTGAAAGCAGATGCTTAACCGACTGAGCCACCCAGGCACCCCTAGAACACCAATATTTAATACTAATCCTTACCCTTCTCTTTTGGTTACTATATTTGTATTTTATGGTTTTTCATTCTGGAGGACAAGATGGGGGGAAATTTCTTTGTTAAAAAAAAATGTAAATAGTAGTTACCTAGAATTTGTCTGAATGATAAGAATTTTGAAGTTTGGCTGTTCACATGTACTATTGGCAGATTTTGTGAAAGCTGCTAATTTACTGTGTTTTTTTTCTTATTATTTATCTGCAAATAACTGAGAAGAATAATAACCAATCTGAGTTTATTCAGATTTGTAAGTTCCTTTGTGCCCTGAACTAGTTAATACATTTCCTAATCTAGAGCAGATCCCAAAGCACTTAAAGAAGAGTAGATCAACTTTTTCATCAAACATGAAGACATGATCAAACATACTAAATGCGTATTTTGCGTATGCATTCATGTTAACTCTCATTTTCACTTTCTCATAATTTTTATCATAGTTTGTAATTGTTTCCTTTGGAATTAGTGATGAAAGGGACTCACTTTTAAGGAAGTTAACTGGAGGAAGCACATCTACTTAAGTGGCTTTCCTGTGGTGTTTCTTATCCATCAAAGATGTTTATTTGTGAGGTGAAAGGAAGACAAACTTACTTTAGGAGGCCGGCTGCATGGCTGAGATGATTATTAGTAGAGGGAGGTGGGTAAAAGATTAAACAAGTGGAAGATAAAAACAAAAACAAAATAGAGCCAGAAAGGGAGAGAACATGTATAGCATTTTGGATGGAGTCTTGGCATATTAGAGATGAAAGGGACCCCAGGAAATCATCTCACCCAGCTGTCTACTAAAAATATCAATCAACTCTATAATATCTGTGACAGATGACAGACAGCTTCAATGATGGGAAATGCACTGTTTCACCTCAGTGTATCCCGTTGTTGGCTGCTCGTGTTGTTATCTAATACTTTCATTCAGTAAGAAACTCTGTATTCCAAAGAATCTCCGTGCCCCTTCCATTCGTGGTTCTTCCTTCTGGTGGTACAATAAATGAATCTAATTTTCTTTAACATTCAGTCTTCTTCATATATCATCATGCTTTCTTGACCCACCCCCACCTCTAACAGCGCACATAGGTACATACTAAATTTACTGATTTCTTCTGTTTTGCATATAATATGGATTCTAAACCCTTTATTTTTGTTCTTGATACACTCCAGGCCATTGGTCCCTCTTAAAATATGGTATCTACAACTAAAAGTAACAGTCTGCTCTTATCTGCCCAGACCAGAATACAGATTGGTTTTCTTAGCTTTTCTATTAGTATCTGATAGGAATTCAGATGTTTTGATCATCCCACTTTGGTGTAGATTTTATAGATCATGCCGAGCGCTTGTTTTTAATTCAGCTGCAGATCTCTACTCTGCATCTGACATTAATTTGGCATTAACATGAAAGGACATCCATTGGTACATTACCATCTGAGAGAGAAGGAATAGGTCAAAATGCCAAGATTGGCAAGGCTGCTGTGTCAGTGAGATAACTTTGCCCCTAAGTAAGATCGAGATATTCCCCTTAACTTTCATAGGCACAATTCAACTTGATAACTTTTCTAACTTTTTTTGCCTCATTGACCTCTTTTTGTTTTAGCTGCTTCGTAAGTAAGTTGGAGAATGTTATTAATCAATCTCCCAGACTCCACAGAACCAGAAACATGTATTCATTTAAAGAGGAAGGATAAAGAAGAGAGGATTGTTGGTGTTCCCAGGAGTAGGGAGCTAAATGTGTGCCAGGAAGTTAGAGGGTTTTCTGATTTCCAGGTTTCTGCCATGTGACAGTTAACCCAGTGATTATCAGTGAATACCTTATCTGTGCTTAGTTAATCACAGAGAGCCACAATCGTCTGTGTCTTTGATTGTGACTGGTATGAAAGATTTGCTGGGGCCAATCAGGAAGTTGGAGGATGCTTTTATAAAAGTGTCTAGCAGTTTCATAATTTTATTGAGAATTGTACTGTACATTGACAGCTTCAGTTATGAAGAATAGTTGATGACAGATGAGATTTCTGTTTTGAAGTCCTGACTGATAAACTAGAGATTTCTGGATCATGCTTCTTTTTGTCTTTTCAGTAGTATCCTCATGGGTAGTCTCCCTTAGCATAAAATGGCCAGGAAAGTAGGATCAAAAAACAAACAAAAAAGGACGTTAAAAAAAAAAAAAGATCAAACTTGTGTCATTACTTTCTAGAAGAGATTTAGAAAGTAATTTTTCTAAAGGTATAGCATACTGTTAAAGAGTTTGGGCCATTGTTAGGGCTACCTGGCTTCATATCCTTGTTGCTTTGTTGCTTATGAGTCTTGGGCAGGTTACTTAAATGCTTTCTGTGCATTATTTTCCCATTTGTAAAAAGAGATAGTAATAGGGTTGTTGTGAGGATTACATGAGTTAATGCAAGTGGAGCTCTTAGAACCTGTACTGAATTGCGTTGTTTAAGGCTGTTAATCTATTGGACTGGAGCTTCCCCAGAAATGTATTTGGACTCATTGAAGTCAGGAGGAAAGTAAATCCCAATAATAATGCTTCCCCCGTTAAATTGTTTTAAGAAATATATAATTGTTTTAAAAAATATATAGTCCCCCCCAAAATGAATGCCACCCTTATGTAAGTTAGGCATTTGGATCTCATCTGTTATATTCTATTGTAATTTATATTTTTTATCAAGTAAGTAATCAGGGAAAATCTGTTACTGAAAAATGTCATCACAAATACTATTAATAAAATGGAATTGGTTTTTTAATATAATGTAAGCCAGGTAAATACTGTAAGGGAGGAAAAAGTTTTTTCTTGACCTAGTTAGGGTCCCAGGCTGGGTCTGAAAACTAAAAGGACAAAGATTTAACAGGAGAAAAGCACACAAATTTGTTTAATGTAAGTTTTACATGTCACAGGAACCTTCTTAAGGAAATGAAGGCCCAAAGAAACAGACCCACTTACTTTTTTGCTAGGTTCAATGAAGAGTAGACATCTCTGAGGAATTTGACAGATTAAGAAATATGAGGTAATTGTAGTTATCCAGGGAAAACTTAGCAAGGCCTGTGTGTTAGAATTCTTGGCATCCCTTTTTCTTTGGATAAGGATGTTCCTTTCCTCCAAATACAGGGTGGGCACCTTGCACATGAGGGTTTTATTACACTGTGAGGAGGGGAGGAGGTCATAGTGACCCTCCTGCTTCTGCCATTTTCTCAAACTTAATTCAGCTTAAAATATTTGATATACCATGATGCCAAATTTTGGGGTAGCATGTCAGTGACTGTGGTCAATGAAAGGGAAAGAAAATAATTGTGACTTACAAGTAATAGATTCATCCATCAATTTTATTAATATAAAAATATCATAGATCAGATTTCTGTGGCCTGTATTTTCATCAAGACACCCCCACCACACACACTCATGTGTACAAGCTAGTGAAAATAGACTCCATCCCAATATATATGATTTATTGCCAAATTTTTCTGTATTTTTCTTTAGGTTGCCAACTCTAGCATAATAATAAAATTGCATAGATTTTTTTTTTTTTTACATTTTGAGAAGTTTTTCAATTCTTAAAGAAGAGAAACTAATATTTTATAGGAGAAAAATGGGTTTTAAAGCAGCATGTTATCCCATTTTAATTTAAATATGTGTATTTAATATTTGAATAAGAAAAAGTTTGGGAGAATCTATATCAAAAATGTTAACCAGGCACCTGTTTCTGGCTTTTAAGATTTGGAATGGTGTCAATATTTCTTCTCTAGTTATGTATATTTTCACATTTTTCCACAGTGAAATGTTTGTCATTAAAGGTAATGGATTATCGGGGCACCTGGGTGGCTCAGTTGGTTAAGGAACTGCCTTCAGCTCAGGTCATGATCCTGGAGTCCCGGGATCGAGTCCCGCGTCGGGCTCCCTGCTCATTGGGGAGTCTGCTTCTCCCTCTGACCCTCCCCTCTCTCATATGCTCTCTCTCTCTCATTCTCTCTCTTTCAAATAAATAAAATAAGAGAAAAAAAAAAAAGGAAAAAAGTAAAGGATTATCTTTTTAAATTGTAGATGTGAAAAACCCCTGACTCGATTGCATGTCACTTATGAAGGTACCATAGAAGGAAATGGTCAAGGCATGCTACAGGTAGGTGGATCACAACAGTGTGCATGTGTTTGGGACTTATTCTTGCCAAGCTTCTGACAGCAAAGGAAATATGAAAACCTGTTTATTTATCTCCTAAACTGATTTAATGCGAAGAAGCATGATAGCAGAATGGAGAAAAATGCCAAACAGATCATTTTGACAGCCTTGGTAAGACTGTTATTTGCCAGTGTACGCTGTTTCTTAACGTGCACCTCTTTAAAAAGGCTTTGACAGAAAATCTTAAGATCTGGACAACATCAGGCCTCTTAGTTCAGACATTGATGTAGATTGACAGTGGATGAAGTTCCCAGAGTATAGTCTTGACAAGCCGTCACCAAGTAGTTTTGTTCTTTTTCTTTAAAGGCTCTTGCTCTGCCCCAAATGATGACCAGCTTGAAATGTTTTTCTGCCACCAACCTTGTTTAGGTCTTAGGAGGCAGACATCTAAAACTGATTGATAAGAAAGTCCTCTCTCCCATATGTAACAGTTTCAGGCACATGAGCCAACTATGCTTGCTGTCTTTTCCCTGTTTCAGAGCAGATTTTGTCCATCTCTCAATCTTTGTTACTAATCTGTGTTACTGCCTTTACTATAAAAATATATATTTTTGGAAAAAGGAGTTAACAAAACACCCTCTGTATCTAGCTTTAAATTGTTGTAACACTTAACCTGAACATGTTTTTCTTTTGCTTTATAGTGATTTTTTAAAAATCACTAATCAGAGACAAAATGTTAGTGATTTGTGTTCATATCCCATTTATAAGAGCATTGTAATTTCAGTTTTCTTTGAAAGATGCTGTACATCATTTCACTTATACTGGAAATTGCTGATTTTTCTTCTTAGATCCTTATTTGGTGCTTATATTGGGTCAGAAGTTAAATCATTTTCCTGAGAATGGACTAACTTTTTTGAATAACAATGTATACTGTAAAATGACTAGACTCATTTGCATTTGGCTTCTTATGATATATTTATGCTCTCAGTGCTTAGTGAAACTGAGATTCTTTTTAGAATGGCCTTTTCAAAGACATATTTGTAATTAAAATCTTCAAAGGGGCAAACCATATTTTGCTTTAAGTCACTCTCTCCCAGTAATTTTTTGAGATTATAAACAGAAATACTTAGATAACTGAATTAATATTTGTCTGGCACTTAAAATTTTTAAAAATTTGTATTTAATCATTACTTTTTTGTAAACAGTAATTTTGAAATATGCTTAAAATTTGTTTCAAATGAATGTTACTTTTTTCACACATTTCCATCTTGATGATGTTCTTTTCTACATTAAAATCTTGGATTTAACTGAGGGAGTCTTAATACACATGAAATAAACAAAGCTACTGCTAGTTAGCACCACAGGAATGCTGACCTTTCCTCACAATACAATTCAGCAAGGAATTATTTAGCAACATTCAAGGTTGAGATTCTTCCCACTTTTCTGGAATATATTGTAGATGAAATGTGAAACCTCAATAGATTAAAAGAATTCTGTAAAGGCTTCTATTAATTATTCTCCCTACCCATGCCGTGTATCCCCAGGAGATTGGGGAATATTGTATTGCAATATTTCAAAGCTCCTTGTGTAGCATATAAATTACATTATACTGAATGGCAACAACAACAAAACCTCTCTAAGGATTGTTATCATTTCTCCCTTTTCATCAAGTTATAATTCAGAAACTGACTAATCTGAACAAGTAGCTTTAAAGTAAAGTGAGTTGGAAAATGGCTAAAAATAAAGAAGCCCTCATATGCTTGTTTTCATGTACTGGAACAGGTTTCTCACCTATAATAGAGAGCCTTTTATTAAGAACTTTTTTAAGTAGTAGAAAGTTTGATTTTTCTAAAAGACCCCTGCCTTCAGAGGCATATTGAGTTTAGTATAATGTATTTATTTCTGTGCATACCTTTCAAGTAATAAATGTTGGCCTTTTATTCAAAGAATGAATAATAGTATGCACATTGAATGTATTTCATTTATCATTACCAAGTTGTACATAAGTTGGATAGAACTTATCTTTTTATTTTAGTTGTGTACCTTGTTCCAGTAAAAATTAAGTTTTGCTGATTTCAAACCTAATGTTTGTTTCTCATTTGTATTCACAGTACTGTTATGCTTAGCTAGTCTCTTGATTTTCAAGTGCTCTCCATTTAAATTTTTGCTGGGTCTCTCATTCCTTCACTTTCTTCCCCACTGACCTGTTTGAGGTCCTAGTAGTGCTTATCTAAACTATTCAGTAGTCACCTACCCAGCCTCTCTGCTTTTAATTTTACTCCTTTCCAATTCATTCTTTAAACTCTAGCCTGAATTATCTTTCTAAAACACAGGTCCAGTTGTAACTTTTCTTCCTAGAATTTTTCCAAGAACCTTCAAAATTAAGTACTTTCCTTGACCCCAGAATACCTCATCAGCAACTATAATCCTTCACATACTCTATATTGCAGACAGGCATCAGGAATCTGCTTAACACTGTCTTCATATAGCTCTGTACAGTTGTTTTTTCCCACGTCCTTGTGCAGTTATTCCCTCTGCCTGAATGTCAGCAAAATCTAGTTTGAATGCCATGTCTCCTTGCTCCAATTTTAGTTAATTGTATTATTTGGGAAGGATCTAATACATTCTAGTAGGTTCTTTAGTAATCACCTTATTCTGCTTATGTGCTGGGATCTCATCTAGATTGCAAATGCTGTGAAGTCAGGGCTCATGTCATACTCATCTTTGTATCACATGGTTCCCAGCACAATATTCAGTTGATCTTTGTTGAACATTTTAAGCCATAAATCACCCAATGCATAATGACCTTATATGTTGAAAGCAGCTAATTCTAATCAATGGACTAGTTCAACTAAAATTAATTTTCTATATAAGCTAAAGAGTTACTCTTTTTTTTAGTGTTGATTTAGTATGCCAGAGTATAAAATATATATGGTTCTCTGTAATAACTCATTTCAAGAACTTGTCTAGTCATATTTTTCAGTATTTCTAAGTTTTTCTCTAATGAAAGAAGACTACTTTACCTTCTGTTAATTTCTGTCTTTTTACATGTATCTTTATATATCAAAAGATTCATATTCTTGCTTTACTCTTTTGTAAAACAGACTTCAGATTACTGTGTAGTATCATAATTGCTTTAGAGAAAAAGTTTTAGGAAATCTTATATTTGACAATAGTCTGAAAGTATATGTAAAATAATAGAAAAAACGTATATTGGTCTCTACCCCTGGTTCTTTGCACAGAGCTCCTAAAACCCCAGTAATATCCTAACTGATAAGAGCACTAGAGGCATCTTTTGTTCTGATATTTGGTCTTTGACCCTGATTTCCTGAAACAGAGCTCCTAAATCCCTTGGAATTTCCTAGGTGATAGGAGTGTGTTTTGTTCTGATGAGGTGACTTTTGGTGAGCTCCTGGATAGTTTCAGGATGGGGGCTGGTCACCAAAAAGATTAAGCCATGATGAGAGGTTTGGAACTTTTACCCCACCCCCATTTTCTGGGAAAGGAAGAGGGACTGGAAACTGAGTTAATGCTTGATCATGCCTAAGTGATGAAGCTTCCACAAAACTCCCCAAAAGTACAGGATTCAAAGAGCTTCCAGGTTGGTGAACATGTGGAAGTACTAGGAAAGTGCCTTGCCCAGAGAGGTGTAGAAACTCTATGCTACATGGGCATGGTAACTGGGAAGAGGCATCTGTATCCCTTATTATATCCTTTTTAATAAATCAGTAAACATAAATAAGTGTTATCCTGAGTTCTGTGAGCTGTTCTATCAAACCACAGGAGCAGGTCATGGGAACCCCAACTTATAGCTGGTCAATTAGAAGTATAATTGACAACTTGGGACTTGCAGTTGGTGTGTGAAGTGGGGCAGTCTTGTGGGACTGAATCCTTAGCCTGTGGGATCTGATGTGAACTCCTGGTAGATGATGTCAGAACTGAATTGAATTACAGGATACCTAGCTGGTGTTTCAGAATTTCTTGATGTGTAGAAACCCATACATCTGGTGTCAAAAGTGTTGTGAGTGTGGTAGTAGTGTAAGAGGAAAGGAGAGACACAGGAGTATGTTTTTTCTATACAGTATATAAGCTTCTCTTATATTACTTACTAAATTCTTTTTGCATGTGTATAGCTATGTATGTACACAGGGTGTTGTGTATGTGTGTAATCTAAGTCCTCGAATAGAAAAATCTAAGGCAAAGCTGGAAACCATTAAGTTTTTATTAAAATTCCAGTTAACATACAGTGTAATACTACTTTCAGGTGTACAATTTAGTGATTCAACACTTAATTATAATACCTGGTGCTCATCACGAGTGTACTCCTTAAACCCCATCACCTATTTAACTTATTTAACCTATTTCCCCCCTCCCACCTCCCCTCTGGTAACCATCAGTTTGTTCTCTATAGTTTTTTGGTTTGCCTCTTTCTTGTGCCCCCCTATGATCACTTGTTTCTTAAATTCCACATGAGTAAAATCATATGGTATGGGTCTTTTTCTGACTGACTTATTTCACTTAGCATAATACTCTCTAGCTCTATCCACATTGTTGCAAATGGCAAGATTTCGTTCTTTTTTATGGCTGAGGACTATTCCAGTTTGTTTATTTATACACACACATACACCCCACTCTTCTTTATCCATTTATCAGTTGATGGTAATTTGGGCTCTTTCCATAAACATGTACTCTGATGTTTATAAGTAGCATTATCAACAATAGCCAAATTATGAATCTTTGTTGTTAAACTAGGTTTTCTGTTTTCATTTTTTTCCTTAGCTGTATTAAAAAAAATAGTTTGTAATGTTTACACAGTTTTGCATTTACAACTGAATTTAGGATGAAATTTCCATCTCTTTATTCTTTCACAGAAGAAGAAGGTTACCCAAAAAAGGGCAATTACTAAGTTTCTCAGTTCTTTTAGGACAAATGTTTGATTGCCATATTATATAAGAAAGATACAATTAAAGTCATAAGAAATCCAGAAATGGAAATTGAATAGTGAATGGTGTGGAAATGATCTTAAAACCTTTCCAAATAGTTTCCCTTGATTTGTGGCCCTTGGAGTTCATAGAAGGTTTGTAAACAAGAGTCTGTATAATTACACTGAGGCTTTTGCCTAAAAGCTCCGTTTTCCAGGTTCCTTCTAAGGTTTTAGAATCCAAAGGAATAAGCAGAGATGTTAACTGCAGTGAGATGGAAAGAGTACATTCAACCACAACCTATTCTCCCTGGGAAAATTACTAATTTGGGGATTGATTTATATGGGAAATGAAAGGAAGAGGGAGAGTACTTTTTTATCATATATGTAGGTATTTAGATCATCATTTAACATGCCACATTTTCCCAAATAGGTGGATTTTGCAAACCGTTTTGTTGGAGGTGGTGTAACCGGTGCAGGACTTGTGCAAGAAGAAATCCGCTTTTTAATCAACCCCGAGTTAATTGTTTCACGGCTCTTCACTGAGGTGCTGGATCACAATGAATGTCTTATCATTACAGGTTAGTTATGGGAAGTCTGTATGATAGAGTAGTTTTCCCCATCTATGAATATCTAACATGAAGGCTAGAAGCCACCAAGATATCACTATTCTGTATCATGGGCATTAGTCCCTATATTTTTATTGATTAATTCTTGGTTTTTTGAAATTGTTACAGTTTTATTTTCCTAATCTTGAGTAAGACATTTTATTCCCACCTTTTCTTTCTTGGCATCTTTATCTGAGGAACAAGGGTAAAAACTATGCATTTACCCTCCAGTTTGAAATTTTATGATATAATGCCCTTAAAAAGAGGATAGTGATATGTCTTTGAACATGTATTCTATTATTATTCTTTATTTTTTAAAGATTTTTAAAATTTATTTGACAGAGAGAGACACAGCGAGAGAGGGAACACAAGTAGGGGGTAGTGGGAGAGGTAGAAGCAGGCTTCCCGCAGAGCAGGGAGCCCGATGCGGGGCTCGATCCCAGGACCCTGGGATCATGACCTGAGCCGAAGGCAGACGCTTAACGACTGAGCCACCCAGGCGCCCCCTATTATTATTCTTCCATTATGTTTCCATAGTGCTTTGTTATACTTTAGTATGAAGACCTATATAAATTAAAAAAACACAGTTACAGTAGTCAGAGAGAATCAGTAAAACAGAGAGCTTTTATAGAGGAGAAATAAATCAGTAACCTTATATTAACCCAATTTCTAATCCTAAGAGAAAAAAATGTGATGATCTGAGTGACTTTTCTTGATTTAAGTTAATATGGGAGGAGGAGAGAGGGAAATATGGTCAAATTTATACTTTAGGTCTATTATTGAGATTTAAATTTTTTATTTAAGTTTTTTTAGCTTGAGATACTACTATGTCACTGTATTTTCTTGTGAATGAGCTACAAAAAAACTAATGATTAACTCATAGTTCTTAAGAAATTCTTAATCAGCCACCATAGGTAAGTTAAGCCTTTTATTCAAGGAACATTCCCACATAAAAGCCATAATCAAGTCATCTGCTGCTGATACTTTTTTCTTTCTGCAAAAGGATTTCTTATTTCCTTTTTGAATCTGTTGCTGCTTTGAGATTAGTGTAGGAGACTAAACACTCACCTGGTTTGGAGAATTTGGTTGACTGTTATTCTGAAAGATTATAATGAGAGAAAAACCATCCCCTATGAGTTATATCAAATTTATACTCAACTAATTTACCTCCAAAGAGGTACATGCCAGAACTAAGACTCTGAGATCTAAGCCTGAAGCCACTGTCTTTGCTTCAGATATGTTTATAGGCAACTTTCAGGAGAGTATCTAAATTTTGTTCCTTATATTTTACTTTTAAGATTTACTTTTAAGATTTTCTCCTTGTCTTTGAACAGTTTGATTATGATGTGTTTAGGATCTCTTTGATTTTATCCTATTTGGAGTTCATTGAGCTGCTTGAATGTTTAGATAAATTTGGGAAATTTTTGACCACTATTTCTTTAAGTATTCATTCTGTCCCTTTTTTTCTTCTCCTTCTGGGAATCCCATTATGCATATGTTGGTACATTTGATGATGTCCTATTGGTCTCTGAAGCTCTGTTCATTTTTCTTCATTCTCTATTCTTTCTCTTTCTCAGACAGGATAATTTCAGTTGACTTATCTTCAAGTTTATTGATTATTTTTTCTGCTTGCTCTAATCTGCTTTTGAATTCCTCCAATGAAATTTATATTTCAGTTACTGTACTTTTCACCTCCAGAATTTCTATTTGGTTCTTCTTCTTCGTCTTTTTTTTTTTTTAAGATTTTATCTATTTGAGAGAGAGCACGAGCAGGGGGAGTGGCAGAGGGAGAGGCAGACTCCCTGCTGAGTAGGGAGCCCACAGTGCAGGGCTCGATCCCAGGACCCTGAAATCACGACTTGAACCAAAGGCAGATGTTTAACCGACTGAGCCACTGGTTCTTCTTTTTAAATAATTTCTATCTCTTTTTTGAGTTTCTCTATTTGTGAGGCATTATTTGCATATTTTAGTTCTTTAGATATAATTTCCTTTAGTTCTTTGAACATATTTAAATAGCTAATGTCTTTGTTTAGTAAGTCTAACATCTGGTCTCCTCAGGTACAGTTATAGTTGACTACCTTTTTTACCTGAGTAGGTATCTTACTTTCTCTTTTCTTTGCATATCTCAATTTTTTTTTAAAGATTTTATTCATTTATTAGAGAGAGTGTGTTTGTGCACAAGGAAGGGCGAAGGGGCACAGGGAGAGGGAGAAGCAGACTCCTTGCAGAGCAGGGAGCCTGATGCGGGGCTCGATCCCAGAACCCCAGGATCATGACCTGAGCTGAAGGCAGATGCTTAACCGACTGTGCCACCCAGGCGCTCTTGCAAAATCTCAATTTTTTGTTGAAAATTGGACATTTTAATAATGTAGCAGCCCTCAGAATCAGATTTTCCCCTTCCCCCAGAGTCTGTTTTTGTTGCTATTTGTTATTTAGTGACTTTCCTAAACGAATTCTGTAAAGTCTGTATTCTTTTTTGTGTATGTTCATTAAAGTCTCTACTTAGTTAGGTTAGTTTAGCTAATGATTGGACTAAGATTACCTTAAATGCTTGGAACCAATAAGTCAATCTTTTCTGAAGGACTCTGTGTATACATTGGGGCTCACCTTCAATACTCTACCAGGCCATTGACATTTGCTTTCTGCTTGCACTTGGCACTTCATTTATTGCTTGCATAGAGCCTCAAGGTCAGAGTAGTGAGCTTAGGATATTCCCAGGTCTTTCGTGAGCATGTGCACAGCCATGGTCATGCATGTAGACTTCTGGATTCCTGGGGATACTAAGAATTTTTTAAAGCCCCTTATAGATATCTCATTCTTCAGCTTTCCCTTTGAAACTTTTTGGTTAGCCTATTATTTGCTCTAGCTGATGTCTACTGCCTCAGGTAGCCATACTATTAAGCAATTGCATGAAATTGTTTCCAATAAACACCCCTGGGGATTAGGCTCTTTGCACTGACTTGATGCACTCCAAGTCAGGTCAAATAAAGATGGTCTTATGAGTGAGGTCTTCCAGGGAGCCACCAGACAGGTCAAATGATGACAGTTCTCTGAGAATGGGGCTTTGAAGGAACTTCATCACTCTTCTGACCCCTTTCGTGGTTTTTACTGTGATTACAAACCGTTGGTTTTTAAGGCTACTCTAGAGCTCAGGAGAGTGGAATAAAAATAGGGAGAGTTAAAATGTCACAAAGCTCATTGTTTTTACCAAGATTCAGCCAATTTTTCTTTAATGAACCCTCCTCAGACTGCTGCAAGCCTTTGGTTAATTCCCACAGTTCAGAAAAAGTTGATTCTTATAATTTTTGCCAGTGTTCTCATGGCTTTTATGGAGGAGAAAATTTTCAGAGGTTTTTATTTAATCATTTTTGCTGATGCATCCTTACCTTTGGTAAGTGCTTGTTGGGGAAAAAAAAAGGCTTTCAACAAGTTATTCCACATTATTTGGGTATCTTATTATTTCTTATAATATCTCTGTGATTCTGCTCTTTTGTTAATTTTCTAAGTTTATGTAGGAAATTAAGAATGGAACCTCAGCAAAGAAATTTCCTCTTGGATAAAGCCTCAACTATTTGAAGTTAATAACCAAAGTATTTCATCCAGAATCCTGAGGTTGTAATCCATATTGTACCAAAATGTAAAGATAAAACCCTTCTATCTTCACTGTTGTCTCAACTCCTTTATTGGTCATCTGTCTGCTATTATTGTTTATTATGTGTACAGATAGGAAGAATGCAGTTGGAAGGTATTAAGGGGAAGGAAAGTGCAAGGGATTGCAGAATAAAGAAATTAAACTGTCATAAATCCAGTGTTGGGCCAATAGATACTTTGAATATGAGTCTTATAATGTTTTAGAGAGCTCTGAAGGTCTGGAATGTGACTGTCTCCAGCATTTGGGTGTTATCAAATAATACTTTAAAAGATTTTTAATTTTTAACAGCTAAGCTAGATTTGAACTAAAGACTCAGGACAGAATATTTCATCAGTTTTAAAGATGAGTTTACATCCTTAAAATAAAAAAGTTGGTAGAATGCTGGGTATTTAAACTCAGAGCTAATTTGTTTCATTTGCTTTATTTCTTCTTTACTAGGAGAATAGTAGGTCTCTTATCATCTACCATTAGTGTCGCTGTAAATAAAAGATGTAATTTTCTTCCTAATAATAAAAGGAAAACACTAGAATTTTTTTCTTTTTTTAAAGATAGCTTGTCCCCAGTCTAAAAAAAAGATCACCATTCTGGAGTTATATCTGTTCTCTACCTTACCTATAGCTATTGTAAAATGAATGGAAAATTGAAAATCCATGACTCACCTTCACATCTATGATTACTTCAGGCTAGGGACATCCGGGGTGACTTTTAACTCAGCATTTTTCCCCACATCCACTTAACTCTATTATAGTGCCTTCTAATTAATATCTGTGATGTGATGTTCCCATAATGGAAATGGCCATTTCATCATCTATTTGATGTTGGATTTCTGCCATCTCCCTTCTCAGGAGACTCTTAGCCATGCACTGCAATCTATCTGCCTGATCAATTCCATTCCTTCAATGATTCATCCAGGCTCAGTGAGCTAATGGCTGTGACTCTGCTGCCTGAATCTGTAGAAGAGTTTGAGAAATTAGAAATAAATTAAATTTATCATCATTTTGGGGCATCTGGTTGGTATCAGACTTTGAAATGAATATGAAACAGGTCATGAAACAGGCAAATACTTTTATCCAGATAGTGTTATCCCTTTATTTGCTGTGATCCTCCCTGGAGGCAGCCATGAGTTAAAACCTTTCAGTAAATATAGATAGAAAGAATCTCCAATCTTACCCGCCTCTTTTTTCCCCCTTTCTTGTGTTCTTCTACATCATCCAGCAGATAGCTTTAATGCGAAAGGGTGTTACCATGGTTCTAAGAGTTTGTTTTATTGTTTCAGTGTGGTGAGTACTTAAAGCGGATGCCTAGACATGAAACTTACTGA